TTTTATTTTTCCGCGCAACGTTGCCAAACTTTGCCATATAAAAATCTACTATGGCTATAGCCTATATAAATATATATGACTCTTAGCACTGCTCACACACTGTCTATGTGGCAGGAATAAACGTCTTTAAAACTCAATATTATTCAACAGGGTACTGTTCAAAAGGCATCAAAAGCAGATGAAGAAAAAATTTCAAAAACAATACAGTCTTATATTAACTACTGCCAAAAAAAATCTTCTGAAGGATTAATAAAATATTTAACACATCTGGGAAATTTATATATATTAATATATATAAATTATTTTTAAATGTTTGTATTATTGGTAGGTACCAATAATACATATTTTTTTAAAAATTATGACATTTTTAAAATTTATAATTTTTAATTATTTTATTCAATGTTTTATTTCATTTTTATTTTGACTCGAATAAAGTTCGGCAACGTTGCACTTAATTTCGTTCTCAATAGTACTGTATTATTGGGTCAGCGGTTATTTCATTGTTCCATTTCGAGTGATCTCAATCGTACGCTAAAAAAGGTCGAACGTTCTCAATCGTATTACAGCCATATTCAGTACTTACGCCAGTGGCATAAATAGGAGAGGCTTAAGACTTACCCTCCCCTCCCCCCATCCAAAAAATAATAATATAGGTAGAATGTCCAACTTGTGACAAAAATTATAAAGGAAAATCCTCTCAAAACCCTGGTAGTGTTTAAATAAATATATACGTGTATAGATGACTCCTGAGCTGCAGAGAACATTTTCTATTTGAGTTTCTGCAGAAAAACTCGCTTATAAGACGCATTTATATGTATAAAATATGCATGAGGCCGTGAGCATATACTATAGGCACCCAAGCAGATAGGTATACTGTTTTCTGAACCCTTTAAAATTAATATACGATAACAGCGTAGGTACAAACGAATTCAAATATCAATAAATGTTCCTATAATATATAGGTACTTCATGTACTTGGGTATTTAAGTGTATATTAATGTCATAAGATCCCGTGGGATATACACGCTCAATGCCCTGCAGCGGAATGACACTAACAATATTATATGTAGGTAATATGCGCAATTTGTATTACTATAACCGACTACCGTATAATATACTTACAATCACTTTAGCAACATTTTCAAGATCGATCTTTTGGACTAAAGCGTACCTATTACCTAAGAACTATGGGTGAGTAACAAGAAAAAAACGTAAGTACCTATATCTACACTTGGACACTATGGACTGTCTTCTCGCCCAGAGAATGCTAACAATTTTTTGCTTAATTTTTTGTACCATGATATAGCTCAATAAGCCCCCAATCCCCATCCTCTTGAAGTATTGTATATTTTCATAACTCATAAGTCATAGCCAATACTGACATGTCACATCACCCATCGGCCATCAAATGATACCTATTTAATTTTCAAATGATACCTATTTAATTTTCAAAAGGTACTATAAACATATTTTAGGTATAGATATATAGGCTGACTTGAGTATAATTAGATATAAAATGATGGAAGATTCGAGTGTACATCAATTATTAATAGTAATTAGCATTTCGGTTACCTCCAGTCACGTCAATTACATTATCGGTATCGGTACGGATAAACTCTAACAATTGTTTAAATTAATTTCAGACAAGTAAAACATTTTAATCATTAGGTAGTACTATAATACGATTGTATAATATTATAATAATATTATTTAGAGAGATTACGAAGACCACAAGCTTTAGCCAGATCTGTTCTTATTCTGTATTTTGTGGACAAAGAGTGTCGTACAATTATTTTATACCTATTATATACTGATGTAGTAGTCATAAGTATAATAAATAATAATATTATTATGTCACCCTTTGTCTTAAACAAGAAAACGATGCCATAATTGTACCTACAGTAATAACATTATACACGTATAATTGTACCGATCCATTATATTTTGCATATTATACATATATCTATAATAAACTTTATTCTCTCCCAGACGACCAGACATGACAGTAATGCACCGCAAACAATATTTGTATATACTATTTCAACCAAACAAATCCTTTAAAAATACTGAACCAAAACCTCACCAGAACCATTATTTTAATACAATTAATTAAAAATTGTGATTCTACGTGTTTACGAAGTATAATTTTTTATTTTTTGAGCTAGAGTAGTTAGTGTCATTTTAACGATAACATTTTGGACAATGACGTTATAGGTATATAACTTAATTAAGAAAAAAAATTATTTGATTATTGAATGCCATTCATACTGACAGCTCACCGCTCGTGACGTAATATATTTATTTCAAAACAATATATTTTATTAAAATATACAAAAATATAAAAAAATCATCTTCAGTGATAAATAATAAATTAACAATTTTAATTTTAGTAATTTTAACGAAAATGACGGCCTAAGCAATACAGTAGTATTATAACAGATGCCTAGATTTTATATTGAATACTAGCTAAATATATTACACGACTCTACCGTCAAGCCAGCAGCCCGATCTGTGCCATAACCACTTCTGCAGAAAAAAAAACCCCATTCCAAAATCTTATAAATCCAAATCAATGTGTAATCATTATGTAAAATGCCAGTTTCTGAAATAGTAATTACTCGAGAGCCGTACTTATGTATAATATATATATATATATAGGACGGTAAGCCATAAATGGCCGATTCGACCTCACTCATCCCCACCAACAACCGCACTGAACGATAGTTGCTCCAACATAATAGGTACACACACAGAATCGATATTTCCGAACAAGCGGCGGCGGCAGCGGTAGTTATCGGTAGAATTAATTCCTACCCTTAATCAATAATATTCATACTAAACCCCTTTATACCACTGCTTAACCGACCACGTCCACTGCACAGACGAATTATATATTTTTAGTCGTTATTATTATTTTTTAATCCAACACAGGCCACGGCAGCCTGGGGCAACATCTGACGTTTGACAAAGTATTCAAGTATAGGATATACGTATATACGTAGGTAGGTACTATGATTAAATCAGTACGAAAATCAATTCTTATATTATATATACCTCGTATATAGAATAATGAGAAATATTGAAAGCCGCTGTGAATTCTAGAGGAGAATTTGTTTTTTGTTTGCACTCTCATCAGAGATCTCAAAAATCAGATTGGAAACAACGCGATGACGAAATAGATAATAAAGGCCTGAAAGAAAACGTTGGATACGGCGAAATTCGAGTTTAAAATTTAAATGTATATATTATTATATATTATATTGGTAGATCCAGGTCATAAGGGTTATATAAGCCGGGAGAGATGGTCGGCCTTCACTAATCTTATTTATGTGGAAAAAAAAATAAACCACAGCCTACAGGGACACCTAATTATTGTTTGCCAAAAGTGTGTTAAAAGATTTAACTTATTACGCGATTTAGCAAGACTTTGACTAATGCATTCGAAAAATTATGTATAGGAAGGTACCTATATATAATTATGTATACGGAAACAAAACGAAAGAAATGCAAATAATACAAGTAAACAACGGAACGCGATCGTGTCCTCCGCCAGAAACGGTAATTACAATTTCAACGATATTTTTGCAATAGAAACCACATGCCAAACTGCTACACTAACATTTTACATGGAGGAGGAGGTAGTTTTTTTTATCTTTATTTCTGGTAAATTGTTGGCAGCAAATATCTGCGAAATAAAATATAAAACGTTTAATGAATTTCTTAATATGTATATATATACTACCTAAATAGTATAGTATTGTACTTGCCAAAACCGTGCCCACATTATTCGCATACATTTTAGTTATCAGCATAACAATCTAACCACGGTCAACATTTAACCACAAACAGGGAATATATATATTTAAAAGAAAAAACCTAAGTGTTGGGAGCAACGATTCTACGCGTAATTTAAGGTGTAGCTATATCGATCTTCAAAGTAGCTGGGACCAAGGTTCAGATGATACAAGACAATATTGTAAATGCATAATCACTCCCTGCAGCTGCAATCCGATACTACAGTAATCTGCAGCATTTGGACTTGAGCATAAAAAAACCAACGCCTTCGCTATCATATGAGACTAATGCCTACGTTAAAGCCAAAACGAATATATAAAGTTTTACAAAAGTGTAAATAAACCGTAATACCTACATTATTTATTATAATGTTTTCTAACCAATAGGGGTTGGCTATATATGACTACTAAGTACTAACACGTCATGATGCATCTTAATAGTGTAAACCCCGCAATAGATGAGAATATGAGAGTATGAGACGAGACTTCAATGTTTAGATACAACGCTGAAATAGCTTCTTATTTAAAAAAAAAAGTCTAACAAATATACATATATAAAATATATAGTATATATAATATATAAAATATGTATATATATTATAATATATATATGGTTATATGTATTAGAACTTAATAAATTTATGATGACACTTGAGTAAATTTCACCTAACTATGTTTAACTTAAATACTAATATTATAATCGTACGTATTAACATAATAATAATAATATCAACATATATGTATATATATGGTGGTACCTACTAAATTACTAAATAATGATGATATAAAAATAGTTAATGAGACATAAATGTTTGAGGATATATAAACACAAACACGTAAGAATTTGTTTGTTGTCGTAGGTGAATGTTACAGACTAGCAAAGCACAATGACAAATAAAAATAAATAAAACATATATAAAATAATTCAATAAACTGGCTCAGTTTTATTAAAATTAAAAATTTTAATTTTAATTTCATGTTGCATAAGGCCGTCCAAAAGAACCACGTACCACATTTTGAGTGCTATGTAGTAGAGTATCGTTAAAATAACACGTGGCACAGGACCGAAACACACAAACAAATTGGCCAAAATAGTAAGTTATGGCGAACTTAACGATTTAAACATTATCAATACAGCCTTTCTAGATAAAAATAAAAATTGAAAAAGAAGGAAAAATATATAAACAACAGTTTTATCTTATGGAATCACCAACAGTACACTGACAATTCACCGCTGTGATCTTTACTGGTATGCCTCCACGAAGTTGCTGACAACGATTTAAGCTGCAAAAAATATAACAGTTTCGATTAAATTATGAAAATAAATTTAATTTTAGATTATAAACACAAAATAGGTTATAAAAATATAGAATGTAGATAAATCAACTACATTTTTTTTCTCATTCGACAAAAACGTTAAATTATCTAAATTCCAAACAATTGTTAATTTTAATTTTAACTCAAAATAAATAGTTCGGTGTATTTTTATGATTATATTAACATCTACTCCCAGTAAACAGAGTAAGTAATACCGGTATTTAAATTATCAAGAAAATGCTTCAACCCGTTGAACATATTTTATATAGGTATAAGTAATGTACAAGGTCAACGAGAGCCAGTATTAGAATTTAATTGTTTAAAAACACATAATAAATACCATTCAAATATCATATAGAATATGTCAGTATCACAAAAGCATCATTTAAATTGTATGAAATATAAAATCATTTAAATTTTTATTTGTGTAAAAAGTAATAATATGAACCGTATGATTTTTCTTAATCAAATAAAATTAATAAACTAGGTATGCAATTATTCATTAAGTACGTATAGGTATTATAATATTATATCATTAAAAGCTTTAACAAATCTTAAGTAATTCAATTATTTGAATGTCTAATAAAAAATATGCAATTGTCTTCGCTATAAGCTTTTTAGGTACATTACATTTCTCAGTTGGATTTAAATAGGGCCTAACCTTGGATGTAAATAAAACAAAAATTAATTAACTGAAAAATGATTAAGACTATTTAAATTAACAAAGCAATTATTCAAAGGAAAATTAATAAAACTATTATTTAACAAGATATTTTCATTAACATACCCCAAAGGTAAAAAATAACATAATTCAACCAAAGAATAATCTGTATTTTATTATTTATTCTGTGATTCAACTTCAAAGTCCATAATTAATAACATTTACTTATAATATAATCACTCATCAGTATTCATAGCCACATCGTTAAGAGAATGCTTAAACTAATAAGAACGTAAAAATAAGTTTAGATACGACAAAATCGTAAAAAAATGTTTTTAATAGGTATATTATGCAAGCTATAGATATAAGTAATAAGAATAAGATTGATAGATAAACGTTAAAAGATTAATTATTCGTATATATTAATTAAATGTTTATATAGGAGCTTATAAATTAATAATATATACAATAGGTAATATGTATGTATATTATTTACATATAATATATTATATTATATGAGTATTATTTTAACAATGATCAATCAAAATATTATGAAATCGGTCAATAATGGGTGGTCTACGCACTACACCACAAGTAAGTCCATTAAATCAATTTGAAAATGTCTGAAAACAATAATAAATACCTACTTAAGTTTATAACTACTTGAAGGTCAACGATATTATTTTAAATTAATGATTACTACATATTATTGGGTGACCAAGAGCAGATTTTAAACTTTTTCTAGGGTATGGAGGGGGGTGGGGTTGTCCTGAAAAATAATATATATTTCAAAGGCAAATATGTTAATTATGCCAATCGTTTATTAATATGTTTAATTATTTTGATTAAATATTAAATAATATTTAACTTATCATTTTTGTTTATCCTAAAACTAGTTTATCATAAAAAATAAAATCCGTTTTAGTATGATATATGTGCTATAATATGGTTGTAAACCGATCGAATGAAAAAATATTAAATTACTAAAGTTCAAATTCAGTATTAATTAAATTTTAAAACAAATATACAATTGAAAGTTAATATTACTGATACAAATTTTCGTCTAGATTAATTATCTATTTATTACTATTGAACGATTATTAAACTAATTCGTAAAAGTAGCATAAAATACTAAACTAGTATCAACAAAAAATATAATGAAACTGAATAAAAAATGTTATTTCGATTTTCAAGTTGTATGACTGAAATCAATAGTAGAATTTAATTTAACATACCAATCTTGATGTTTAACACTAATTTATTTCGAATCTGCACTAATAATTACTTTTTTTAACAATAGAAACGAAAATGTTTTAAACACAATAGGTATTATAAGTAATAACTAATAAGTGTTAAAACTATTTTTTTCTCTACTACAATACGCTGACGAAATCATGAGTACACGTTATATATAATTATTAATTAATAATAGTTTTAATAAAACAAAGTTCAAACACGTTTAACTTTATTTTAAGGTCCATATAGTTAATTATTCTGTATTCCGTAATAAGCTCCACTTAAGTTCACTACTATATCAAATATCAAAAAGTATAGGTGGATAAAGTTAAGAATTGGTATGGTAATTGATTTCATCGAAATATTAAACTATAGAACGCAGTAATTTTCGATTGTGTACCTATCTGATAAGTTATAAATTTATAATATTTGTTTAAGGTCTTCGATACCTATAGGCAATAGGCTATAACCTATTGTACATTTGTACCTAGTTAATAACGTGGGTATAAAATGTATGATATACAATATACATTATACATACGGTAATTTGGTTGGGTAAAAATTAACGAATAATAGTATAAAATATAAATAAAGTGTATAATTTATTACCTCCTATATACACATTTTATTATAGCGACACTATAATATTTTACTTTTACCAGAACAAAGCTATCCGGACGTGTTTTTTCATTTATACATATTATTTATTACATAGATTATTGTATAATAATGTAGGTATTCTATACTATCTACAACGTGTACAGTGTACACTGCACATACTATATACTTGTCGTACAACGTAGACAGCTCGTATAGAAATATCAATACGTACATGTATATTAGAATAGTATAGGCGTACAAATAAATGAAACGGCACAGCTGTAGTATAAATAATATATAAAAATACGAGATAAAAGATAGTAATTTTCGAGTTGGATATGAAATTACGTTTTCACAAAAGAAAAAAAAACCTCCCTACTCTCAGCCACGATTATAGTTATTGGAATACTGCATATTGGTGAATGGGTGCCGGGCGGTTGGCAACCGTGGCAGCTGCATTACAATAATGCAATGGACAGTGTGTAGTATAACTTATAAGTATAACATAACAATATTATAGTAAGCTTAACCGGGTCCTGGATCGTGGTGGTAAAATATAGTTGAGGAATGTGTGATCGTTGTCTGACGGGTGTTAAGTGGGCGGGCAACCGACCGAGGATTCGGATGACGTGAAGAGGGAAAGGAGAGGAGAAAGACGACGACGCCGTTTGTCCGGCACCAGAAGATTCCAAGACCACCGACGTTTCGTTTCAGAACACAATACAAGTTTGTGTGTGTGTGTGTATGTGTGTGTGTGTGAGCGCGAGCGCGCGCCCGTGTATTATATTAAAATTAAATAAATGTATGGCATGCAGGGGTATGAGTATGATGAGATCGGTCGAGTAAAAATAGCGGGAAAGGTGACCTTCAAATACTTGTTTACTTCTAACACAGTCTAATTCACTTTACACAAAATACTCGGAGAGGAAATGAATAGAGTTGTAGTAGTAGTAGTAGTAGTAGTAGTAGTAGTAATAGTAGTAGTAGTAGTAATAGTAGTAGTTGTATACCTACTGTTGATAATAGCGCGTAGCTAGACGGAGGGGATAACCAAATACTAAAATACTCGTACTCTTCTTTGGCCCGTAAACTAAAAAACAATGGTTTATACTTTTATAATACTCACGCACACACACTCATATAATAACGATCGATTTTTGAAAAACAATGCAGCGTAATAATGTGCATAATATTTCGATATGTATATCATATTAATATATTACACATCTCGGTTAAGCGTCCGTATTTTAAAAACGCGGTCAATATTTTTTTTTTACATTTTTATTTTTTCCTGAACGAAAATCAAACGTGATTAACAGTATGTAACGCAGTTCTGTTTTATCTTTACCGACTACCTATATATATACGACCAACCCAACAGACGGAAGTCAATAACTGAACAACTCAAGGGTGTTTCGCCGAGTAGAGGACGTTGGCGACACAATCATTGAAAAAAAGACTACCTACATTTTTATTTAATTTATTTATTAACATTACCAACACGATACGTGTTAAAAGAGAAACGAAATTCGCATTAATACCGTTAAGCGACGTTTTGTATTAAGAATGACCTTTAAGTTTATGTAAGTTTGTAGAAACATAACACATATTTGTTAAAAACAATGAATACAATAATTGTAATACACTATAATTCCACTAGGAAATTAGCCAGTAAATTAAACCTATACCAACTCGTAAGGCTTGTTTTATACTTGTATATAACAAAAAAATTATAAAGATCTTTATCCAATAGTCAAACTCCAATTATATACCAAGTATACTGGCTATTCTAAAAATTTTAACACATCATTAAAAAGATAATTTGTTTTAAAACAATATAATCAATCCATTTACTATACTGTTATAAAATTAAGTAGGCTAATATAATAATTACCAATAAATTATACAATAGTTATAAACACTAGTTGTCACGAAAATTGCAATAAAATAAGTCTTGTAATTATTTAGTATTTATATAGCGTATACACTAGTCATAAAAAAATATAAAAAACATGTTAAGCGCATGAGTCATATATTTGTTTAATACATCGACAACCTGGCGTAACATATTTAACAAAAAACAAAAAAATAATGAAACTTTTGAAAAAAAATCGTAATATGTACCTACTTCAAGTATCTATATTTAAAATCTCCCCAAAAATGCATTTAAACATTACATAATTAAAGTAAGACTAAAGACACTAAGATTTCTATCTACCTATAGGAATAAACCTACCATAATAATATATAAATAACATAACCAGGCCCGTGTTTTTTGCAAAGCCCTAATAGTTATCCTATATTTTTATATAGTAGTAGTAAACGTAATCCAGACGCGTGAATTTTTAATATAATATTCCATAATTTGTTTAGGTATACATTTTTTCTTCGTCTCATTATAAACATTTCTATCTACGCTACTGTGTTACTTAATGTACGCGTGAAAACATATGTAACATGATCATGAAATTATGTTTATTTTAATTTTATATACCGTACAAACAAGTTTATATGCATAATTATTAAAATTACTAGAATAGAAAAAAAATTTAATATTATAAAAATATAAAATAATATATGAACATAACCAAGTACGAACCAATCAAATACTTTACAGAATAAAATGAGTATACACTCTAGAATTTATATAGGTACGTCGTACTTGTTATAGTTAACCCTTAACTCATACAAATAAAAATGGTACCCACAAGTATATGTGGTTCATTTGAATTAAGTATGGTTTTTAAATATTGTGTTTAGTTAATTGTTGCCAACTGCCAAGACATTGGCTTTTAAAATAAAAATATTAGAATTGTATTAATCAAAGAAGTAATCAAAAGAGCAATGAACGAGAAAAATCACGATAAGAATTTAAACACTTTAGTGGCCTTCTTACATATATGCCCTATAGTTATAACTTATAAATGTACATTTTGTAAACGTATACATTATAGTATAATAAACAGGCATGATTATGAAATATAAAAAAGTATAAAATTACAATAAAAACAATTGATGAATAATATAGATACCTATTCAAATAGCAACAATATGTTTACAAAAAACCCTTGAATACGAATGTCAAAAGAGTTACAGATTTCTATAAAAGGTATACATTTATCTGCAGACTAAAAAATATTTATAGAAATTCGATTTCACTAACCGCAAATGTAAGTATTACAAAATTTAGGCATGTATAAAAACTATTAAAAACTTAGTATTAAGAAGATGTACAGCAGCGTACTATTTGTTTTCTCTCTTTAACCAACGCGCAACATACTCATAAGTCAATATTATACTCTGTTCAAAATGAGAACAGTACCGGGCGGCCCAGTTGTGCGCGTGTGTGTGGCTTCGTAACACGATAAAACTCCACTCGCCGCTGTAGGCGTCTGAACATCGCGAAACGAAAACTGGCCGCGGCCGGTACTGATCTCATTTTGAACAGAGTATTGTTATTACAAATTATTTTAATTGTATTTTTAAATACTGGATAGAGAAAAGGATTTTTTCATAGATTATGTAGTAGGTATACCTAATGTTTATTAATTATTATATACCATACAACCGAATAACATAGTAAATATTATTGTTATTAGAAAAATTAATTCTACTGGTTTTTTTTCACAAGAGTTAAACTTTAATAATAATTATGGCTGTACATTCTTGTAGAATAACAACACTTATTTAAACAATTACATATCTAGCTTTCAAAAGATGTTTATTGTTTACCATCTATCAAATCAAAAATAAAATTTTAAGTTTATCTATGAAATGTAGACCTCTGACCTAGATTATTATTAAGTTATGTAAGTACCTAACTTGTTTTAAATAAATGTAAAATTTTTATGTAGTATAAAATTAAATGTTAGTATCCATTTTGTTTGATCCCAACTCCCAAATATACCTACTTAATACTTAGTACCTAATAATAAATCCATATTTGTACCTGTTGCATTTTTTCAAAGTCTAAACAAGGCCTCTGCACATTACGAGTAGGATGATGCCTTTGTCTGTGTCGTTTACGTGGAGAAGTGTTTGGCAAAGATACAGATTGTCTAGGTGACAAGTGTACTAATTTTAAAGGCGGTGAAGAGGATACAGTACACTGTCCTGGTTTGTGCACATGAGATGGGGGTGATGCACAAAATTTTAATGGAGTTGGTCTGGTTGACATAAGTCCTTGTACTTCATCGTCAGATGAACCTGACCAGCTTACAGCTATTGTGTTTCCACAACCAGCTTCACTAGCAGATCGACAACGTTTACGAGCTAATGATGCTACAGAGTTTTCAGGAACACCGCAAGAATTTGCTTCATCTGGATCAGGTGTAGGTAATTCAACTTGCAGTAATGCTTCTGGATTACTATTTATAACTTCTAATTCTTCTTCAGAACTGTGTTGATCACAGTCACTGGGTAAAGCAGAATCTAAGAAATATGGGGAAGGACCAGGAGTGGCAGCACTACTGCGACCACTGCTTGAAGACCTTGTAGGTTCCATATCACCAACCATATCTTCATTCCCAATGTTCTCCATTACTATAATAAAAAAAAAAAGTTCCTATTTTATTACAATAAAAGGAATTCCAACAAAGCTTTATTTTTTCTTGAAATAATAAAATGTTGTTTATATATGACAAATTTATTAAACATGTTTTCTTTTGTGAAACATTTTTTTATTGGTAGCTAAACAGCTCCAGTTTTAAGTTTTCCAATTTACCATAATAATACACTACTAACTTGTGTTAAGAATTCCAATGAGTTCAGTGCTCAAGCCTAAACACTAAATCTTTTATCCATATTTTTTCATATTTATTATATATTTATTACAAACTAGTACCTACCTAAATCAATACTTAAAATTCACAGATTTCTTTGTTTAGTTTAAAAATGTATTGTTCCTATTATGTTATTATAAAAATAAATGATTTGACATTGCTCATTATTTATTATTAACAAATAACAATAGTAGTGAAAAATGAAAAGTATAAATATACATATTATAACAAAATACCTACATCCTACTATATAGTAGGTATTATAATATATGGATAATGCAAGTGTACAATGTATGGTATTCGTACATACACTTAGGTACTTGAGAGTTTAATTAAAAAAAAAGGGAGGAATAAAAAAAATAATAATAACGGGTGTTAGCAGAATGAATAGTGTTGAGTAGGAGTGAAATAATCGTAGAGGGATGATTGAGAATGCAGAACAGTTCTTTTGTGTCAGTTAGGTCAAGTGTTGCAAAGAGTATAGGTATGGTACTCCTATGAGAGCATGGCAAATATGAAAACACACATTAAAAAAGATCCTTTCATGCTTCAACAATCTTCAAAATATAAGGTAAAAAATATTAAATATATATATAATACACATATAATATTATACATAAAAATATAAGAAATAAGGTTTTTAAAATATTATCTCCATTTTAAACCGTGACAACTAATAATTTTTATTTAAAATTACTCAAACTGTGGTAAGTACCTACCTATTCTAGTTAACTATTTAAATTGATATTTAATACAACCATTATGAAATATAATAATAATACAATTTTTTAAAATATTATCTAAATAATATCTAAATTTATACCATTACAACTTTACAAGTTTAAAACATTCATTTAAAATTGCCTGCCTACCTACCTACCTACCCACTAACTATTTATATATTAAATCAATATAATCATATTAAGATGGTGAAGGTGGAGAATCTTATGAAATAGAATTATCTTGTAAAATAAAATATCCCATTACTCATTAATAAATAATAAATGCATGTGTTAATTAATTTTAATTGTATTTTTTCATAACATATTATACACTAGATTAAATCAATAATTGGTGCAAATATCAAAATTCATTATTCTGTGAAAAATTAAGAACAATAATTTATATAGGTAACTTAAAATATTCAGTATGAATAATTTGGGTATTATACGTATACTGATACTATTATTAAAATAATAAATACTATTTATTAGCTTATTAAATGTTTAGATAGAAATTATGTACATCTAATAAAAAAAGTATAAACCAAACCACTAATTAATGATTGTATTTTTTATTCTTAAAAATAATTCCTTAAATAATTACATTGAGTTTATCTAGATATCTAAGAAAAAATTGATATTGAACAATTATAATATAGGTAAGAAAATATCAATAATAATAGTTATAGATTCCAAAAATTAGTTATTTTTAAACTGAATGTAAACTAACTTATTAATATCATGATGTATATTACAAGAAATATACATTGCATATTAAGGTCCCCACACACTGGAGCGGTGGCGGTCAATTGCTGCAGGACACATTTCACCACTCACCGCTGTGGTAAAGCCAAGACAATAGAATTTAAAGCCACCACTGTAGTGTGTGGGACCTATATAATACAATTTATTAGTAATGCAAAAGAACAGTTCTTTGATATTCAATATAAATAAATTAGAATTTATATTATATTATATTCATTTATATTTTGACAGTAGATAAATGTAATAATTTAATCAAATATCACCAATTATACAGTAAATATAAGTACCTAGATAGTCAAATATTATTTTATTTATAAATATTTTCATATTTATTCTAATTTTTTTATATTGTAAAATTAATAGGTATAATATAAAATTATACGTTTATAGAAACTTTTTAGTATAACTGGGAAAATAAACTAATACATTAATCAATTCAATTTTCATATTACGATATTGGCATTTGATATTTATAATGTTTATTATTCAATACCACATTATGTTATTCATATAAATGAAACAATATAAATACCCAAAAATATCTCACTCCAACACTACAATTTATTGGTTATTCAAATATTCAAATATAAAATACCGAGTGATGCACTAAACATTTAATTTCTTATACAATATATAATATGACAATTAGATGTTGGGTTTATGATATAAAAAATTCTAAAAACATCATAATTCATATTCATGATACACCTTGTATAGTTGTATATTAGTACTCAGTTATTTTATTTTATTACTATACTAGTACACTATAAACATTTTAATTGGATAAAATATAATATTTGATTATAAATATTTTGGAGTACATAGTACCTATAGGTATAAAAGCAAGTTATCAAATCTAATAATAATTCAAACTTTTTTAAACTTACATCTAGTAGATTCAGGTACTCCTGGTTTTGTACTTTTGGGTTCTCTATCCGGACTATGTTCGTCGTCAGACTCTGTGCCAGAGTCGTGGTCAACAGTTTTTAACTAAAAAAAAAGGATAAAACTATTATAGTTAAAACATAACTATACAAAAATTATTACTGATAAAAAGAACGTTTGAAAATTATGGAAGGATAAAAATATAAAATATGTTTTCTTTTATTAACTGATGTCTGATGATATTAATATTATTAATAATAATAATGTTACCTAATAATGACATATAAAAAGAACTAAGAAGTATGAAAAACATTGTCATAGTAAATTAACCATTACTTAAAATATAGCTTTATAATTAGTTCAAATTACCTACCTAAATAAAAAATTTGGGAAAATGTAAAGTACCTTTAAACTATTTACCTACATTTTATGAATATAATAAAATAAGCACCATACCAATTATTATATATTTATACACTATCATCTGATACAATATAGTAAATAATAGTAAAATACAATGGACAATAGGAAACAGTTAATATCTAATAATTAGAGAGCGGAACTTTAGGTTTTTACATATTTTTATTGGCTTTATGCAACTTTAAGAGGATGAAAAACGTAGACGATTTATTCATTACAGAATTTGTCGGAAGAAATTTATTTTACATATTAAAGCATATTTTGGACATTAGAGAATATTTAACCTATTTTTCATATTTTAGAATATATTTTATTATTGTTCATTAAAATCATATATATTTTTTTGAATTCTCGAGTTGTGATTTTTTTTTAAAAATAATTAAAATATAATTTGAAATAAGAATGATAAAAATTAAAAATCATTCAATTATCTACTTGTTTTTAATCAAATATTCAAATTTGTAATGTTGGACATTATATTACAACTCTCAGAGTATGATTTTACTTAGTATAAGGTCTATGATTGTACCACAGATTATCGTAATTGATAACTGATAACATGATGAAAATTATTTTTTAATAATAAATTTGTTTTGACTTAAATTTTTCAATCATTTAGGTACCTGTTGCCAAATGAATGGTACATGCAAGTTATTCATTTTGTTGAACTATTTTATTTTTTTTATAGATATTTTATTATATTTATATGCCTTTGTATGAGCTGTTTAACATTTTTTATATTTAAATAATTTACCTGTTACCAAAGAAATGACGCATAACAGTTATTTATTGTTTTTGACTGAACAATTTAGGGGAAAAAAAAATCTTATTAAGTAACTGCATATTTACAAGTTTAAGGAATATTTAGAGAATATTTTAGAGTTTTTTTAGAACATATTAGCATCATATTTTATGAACTTAAAAATCTGCTCTTTGCTAATAATATTTCCTATTTTCATTATAAGAAAAACTAATAAATAATATTACTCATTATTAGGTATTTGATTAATTAATTAAAAATAAGTATTTTGTCATTTATATTTCATATTTATGTAGGTAGTACCTAAGACTATCTATTTCAATTTTTGATTAACTAACATAATTTTTGTACCTACCTATGAGTAAACTTTTATTTAGTTCTTAATATAGTTATCATGAGAACCCAAATCAATGTTAAAATGTGGAAATATATTATAATTAAATTTAAAAAATAATCAATTGGCTAGGCAAATGTTTTAAAATGTATCCGTCTAAATATTAAGTTATTTTATTTTGAATATATTAAAATAAACTAATATGAATGATACTAACGTATCAAAATATTAAAATAAATTTATTAAAAATAAATAAACTGTTGACAACAGTTTTATATTAAAACAGAATATAAAATTACAATATAAATTATAGTACCAAGATATTATTGCAAAACCATTACCTTCAGAGAAGTAGTAAACAAGTGTTTAAATGAGTGTAAAATTTAAATAAGCAATCATTAAGACAATTTTATGAGATTGGTAATTAGGGTTATCAGTTTACTTAAATATTAATAATTAGGTAGTTACGTCTAATAGTTGATTCTTATTTCTTATAAATAGGTACCTACTTAAAAATAGGTAAATATATTATAAATGCATGGTAGGTACATTGTAATATATAATTATTAATTACTTTTCAATAATTTATTAATTATCTAATGTACAGGAAAACTCAAAGAAAAATTAATTATTGAAACATTAATATTCATTATACCTAATAATAATATTGTTGGTCAGGATGATAATAATATGTAATATGAATAACTAATAGTAATCATTGAAATTCATGCATTTTTATTAGGTTCATATCTAGTATGGTAGGTACTAAAAATGATGGCAGTATATCATGGTTTACATTTTCTAACAGATATTAAATTGGTTATTAACATTGTTTGATATTTCTGTCATAAAATATTAGTATGTCCTAATATCACTATAATATCATACAAAATTTAATAACAAAAAGCATTTTATTTATTTGGAAATAGAATATTGAAAATAAAAATATATAATTACTTGAAACAGAGCAAAAAATTGAACATCAAAAGTCGATGAGCATATTATAAACAATACTATTTCCTATACGGGTATACCAGGTCTAGGTAAAGAAATCTTGGTTGTTGGGGAGTTGCAAGAACAAATACAAATTGCAAAATAATTTAAAGAATATTACACATGTCATTTAAAACACAACTCGAGATGGTGGCTTGGCGTGGCGCGTTGGCTGCTACCAGTCGCGGAATGCGACTGGGAGTAAGTAACGGCCACAGCTACTAGCTCCCGGATGGGTGACCACCCGGGGTTCATAGTAGTTAAAACCTTGCCACGCATACACGTGTTTGCTACCTACCGTAACAACCGTAAACAATCGTAAAAAACAACCTACCATACCAACATTACCCCTCTACCACAGTTCATAACCCCTACAACAGCTAATGGCCTTAGTCGCCGGGCTTAAGTTCAATAAAAAAAAAAAAAAACAACTCGAGATAAGATATTATTATAATTTATAATCTTATGTGGGTATACAATAATATTATCATGCCACAGACTTAATATTATGTGTAAGTAATATTTTCCATAATATTATTATAGTCTGTATTATTAAACCAGCAAAATCATTATCAAAAACAGATATGATAAGGCAACGAAATTATGGAATAGATTTAAAAATAAGTTGAATTAATTTGTTAATCGTCGACGCTATTTCAACACTCTGGAATTCGAGACAAATATAAAAAAATAAACAGTTATTGATATCATAATTCCTAGTAGAGAAGTATTGGTTGTCAATCGATGTTCTAGTATCAGCAACTGGTGTACACACGTACCCACTCATAAACCTCACTGAGAGGACGTCGGCGTACTAAATTGTATTGTTTTCTCTTTCTAACAAACGCACAGCAAAGCAACAAATTTGAAGTCTACAACTACTGTCTGTCGTGTTTTTAACTTTAATACCAAAGTGAATTAACCTGTTGAGCAACTTCTATAGTCAAGAAAATACGTCGTCCGTGTTTGTGCGTCGGTTTTCTCACGATACTTCAAATCATGGTCTATGATCAAGCTACGAGTATGTACATAATAATACACGAATAAACGCATTAAAAATGCTCACAGAACATCAATAGAAAATATATTAAAAAGCCAACAACATAGACAAATGGGTAAATTCTTCAACTAAATATCAAAGCTGACAACATAAATATGGATACCATATATCACAAATATGCCATGTTGTGCGTGGGACGGAGAGAGAAAACAAACAGTGCGGAATTCTGATACGAACTAAATGCTGCAGTGGGTAGGTGGGTGTAAGTCATAAAGATTTAGAAGCATGTTCTATGGTTTAAGTAAACGTTAATATAGGTACCGGCTGTGTCGCAAAACGAACGGCGTCCAACAAAAAGCTTTCACGAACTTTCGACGAACGTGTTAGAGGAGGACCACCGCGGCGCAACGACAACACGCGCGCACTACGTCCGCCGACGACGACGAAACCGAACGGGACCCGCGCAAGTGATTAGCAGCTAGCCACCGGACGAATCGCGAGTGCAAGTGTGCAACGCGACGAGCGACGACGACGACGACTTCGGTTGGAGGGGAAAAGATGATAATAATTATATTATAATAATATTATTAATTAACACTCGGTAGGAAAATAGAGGTAATATAAATTGCGACAAGCGTGGGCGACCAAAGCGATGACAGATAATATTATGCCGCGGCAACAACAATACAATAATATTATATTTTGTGATATTGTTATTTGGTATGTACCTACCTATCGTATAATATTTAATGTATAAATATATATTATTCTGTATCGGCGTCGTGTTATCACACCTAACAACCGCGATATGTCGGCGATATCATCGCGGACGGACTGCGTGGGAAACGCAATAATACGCTATGCTACGGAGCGGCCGTTATCGCGACGAGTACACTCGGTTACCGGTTATCGTAACGTAGCGTAGAGCACGCACGCAATAGTAAGTAGTAATAATAATATAGTATTCGATTAAAAATAGACAGTGCGCCGCCGCGGCAGCGGTCACATACTATCAGTGAGGTACCTAGTACCTATGCGTGCGATCAGCTGATGAATACGCGCAAACCCACACAAACACGAGCAGGCGCGCGCGCCCGCGCGTACGATGAAAGAGAATCAACTACGGCAGAACGGCGGCAGTGGTGGCGGTGGCCGAGGTGGAGAGAAAATGTCACGCACACGAGCGCGCGCGTTCCTTTGTCTCGGTGGGGATGACCGACCGTGAGGTGGGGTTTGCCCAAAGGGGAGGGGGCAACCTTTGTGCACACGTTATCAAAAAAAGAAATAACAATTTAATAATATTTATTATATATATCATTAGTCTTTACTACTGCTAATGATACTACTATTACTATTACTACTACTACTATACTACTACCACTACCACTACTACTAAGATTACTACTACTATTATTACTACTACTACTCTACAGCTACAGATACTGTAATTGGTGGCGTCGTAAACTCGAACAGCCGATGACGCTGGAATATCATTTACCTTGGTAGGTCTTCGATGGTCTTCGAGGCTGTGAGTCTTCAGTTTGTGCGTGACAAATTTGAGCATCATTCGCCGCCCGTTGTCGACCAACCCCTCCCGGGTCGCGAGCGCCCGCTATTTCCGGTTTATGACGACGTCGTGCTGCGCCGCGATTTTAGCCGACCATCGTCGACGGGATCGTTGGGACGTAGGCAATCATAACAACTATATTATGATATTATCGCGACAGCCGACGACGATCGTTTTTCTTCCGGCAAGCGACGACCGGCACAGTTATCGATATTAATATGTTATTATCGCGACAAAAACAGCCCTGGGACCGGTAGGCACGGGAACGGAGCTGAGCAAATGCGTTAACAACGACGTGACGACAATATTATTACAATTATTAACGATAAAAATGATAATAATAGATCGCCGTCTCAACTCTAGAACTGCAGCAACGGAGAGGGGTTAGCGCACAGTGCAATCTCGTGCGGCGCGGTTCGAACGCTGTGCTCGTACTGTGTCCTGTACTCCTGTTGTCCGCGCCGGGGAGATGTGTGAAAAACCAAGCGACGGCGGCGGCAGATCGTGCGCCGTGAGCCAGTCGAGGAGACCGCCCGCCCGCCGCCTTAGTGTGCCCCTGCCCGACTCTCCCGCCGACCCAAAGTCGCGCACAAAGGACTTCTCGCGCACGCCCCGTGTACACCTTCCGCATAATAACACACACACACACACACACACACACACTGTGATGATGATAATAATAATAATAATAATAGTATATATAGAATATTATACACTTTGTAGTAAATCCCGTTGTTGTATACATTTTACTACGCCCGGCTCTCCTCGACCCCCGAATACCGTCTCCTCAACCACCGCCGCCACTACGTTCGTCGGTCACGGCCTCGTCGCCGCGCCGTCACCGTCCGAACGCGCGTGTTTACGCGACGACTGCGTGCAGAGTGTGCGCGCGTGCGCCGCCCGGCCCAGCTGACCGCGCGCGCGCTTCGGCCCCGGACCGATCACAACGGCCAGACGAGAGCTACATCCGACCCGTTGTACGAGTATTTTACGAGTAAAGTACGTTTCATATTATTCCTCGGCCGAATTTATCGAGGTGTCCTGAAATTCCGAACCGCAGATGCTGCGCAGCGGTGGCTTACGTTTGGGATAACGCACAGAGTACATCAGGCCCTATTTTTATGTGCACCACGACACACAATGTGCACTACGAATATATAAGTGTGCACTACGATTTGAACGTGTGTGCACTACGGTCTACAAAACAAAAATTGCCAAGTCAGGGATCGGCATGTAAACTTTCTTGATTTTGAATTTTTAGAAATTTGTTAACTGATTTAATCACACCCAATAAGCGGTATAACAATATGAATCCAGAAAAATGTCGGCGTGATCAGCCCCACAAAAAATCATTTTCATTTTCATTTAGTGAGATAGATCTCCGAAACCGGAGAGCGGATTTCGTTGATTTTGGTCTTGTTAGATTCACAATTGGTTAGGAGAAGTGCAGTGAAGATTTGCAGAACTTTATCTTTAATAGTTAATTCACTACAGAACATTAAAAAAAATTAAAACAAATTTTATTGGGCGTTTTTTTATGTTTTTCATCTTTACAGCTTTGTAATGAATTAACGATTGGAGATAAAGTTCTGAAAATCTTCAATGCAATTCTCTTAGCAAATGTGAATTTAACAAGACCCCAAACAACAAAATCCGTTCTCCAGTTTCGGAGATCTACCTCGCTAAATGAAAATCTAGAGAAAATAACTCTTTTTTCTTTTTTATCTGTGAAAAATTAAATAATTTAAAAAAAAAATTTAATTCCACATTTAGTGTCTACCTACCTGATAATCCCTTTTTAATGAGTTATCAAACAACTTTCTAGCTAGGTATCATAGTTTAGGAGAAAAGTTAAAAAATAGAAATTTTGGGACTGTTCACGCGAATGTTTTTATGGATTCAAATTAGGTATACCGCTTGGGTGTGATATCAAATCTCTCTTATTAATATTTTATATTAAAGCTAGCTAAATTACCCACCTATTTATCATTACTGAGTTATATTTTTATTATTTTCCTATTTAACACACATTTTTGAAGTTTTCAAAGTTCAGACTTTTTTCATTTCAATTACCATACTTACTTGATGAAAAATCAAGAAAGTAATATGCATTGTTATGATGTTAATTATTAAAAAGTTAAGTTAAGGTTTTTATTATTATATTATGCTATTTAATTTTTATGATTTTTATTGAAAGATAAGTATTTAGTTGTTTTATTGAATTGCATTGTTAAATTATTATATACATATGGTATATAATATATATAATATATATATATATGTTATATGTATTATGTAATACATTCCTTTTTCTAAGATGGTAGCGAGAATAAAATGAAATGTGCAGTCCGAAATTTTACAAATAATAGGGCCTGGAGTACATATAAATTTGATCGTTGTTAGCTGGTGTAGGTCTTGTCAAGCCCGCAGATGTACGGGTTGATTTCGGGTGCGTGATGAGTGTGGGGCTATGGGGAGGATCGCGTCCGTGTCTGTCGAACGACGATACTCATTGACAGTGGCGGATCCAGAAATTAATTTTGGGATGGGCATGGGGGGGGGGTGGTTCAAAAGTACAAAAATTTCGAAAATTGGCTATACGCAGTGTAAGACAAAGGAAAACTACGGCTATTGCCTTTGCCCTCCCCCTGGATCCGCCACTGATCATTGACAATCTTATTGTAGTCTGCAGCTGCACATCCGTCCACTAGCCACCAACATCGTCGTATGAGCATTTAATATATTTTCTATGCGTATGAGGTACTGAGATTTGAACATTGAACAGTGCTGTGGTGGTCGCCGCCGCACATAGAGCCCCCCTCGCGCGCTGTAGGGTGGGCAGCGGCGGAGTTGTTGTTGTTGTTGTTGTTTAGTGAATGAATGCGCGAGAATACGCGCACCGTGCGGCGCGCGTACGGAAAGAAGTATGTGGTGAAAGGGCGAGTGGGCCAACCCCCTGACACTGTATAGTGTATTATACCAGGCAGCGCTATAGACCAACTCGCGCACGTATGGATTATAATATTACATTATTCTTATACCATTTATACCGCGTTTTCTCATACCACATAAGATTATACAAATGAAGTACACTATGAGGTGTCTGCGTTAAGATATTATAATATTTTTTATTAAAATATGTGTTACTTATGTCTTTTTGTACACATCAATACATCATCACAACGTCGCATTCATATAGGCAGTTCATATAGTGCTAGTCGGTGGCATTTCTAGTTCCTAGCTCAGAAACCGATTAAAACTAATAATAATTAACTATTAATAATTTTAAACATTAATTTATTTTCAAAAATGTTGTCTTTATTATTCTATCAACGTATTATATTTCATTACTTGGAAAGACAAAAATGTTTAACCTGCGTTTAAGTATAATTGGTCACACCGACGATGTAATATTTTTGATAATAATAGTTGAAATAGTTCATATTACAATTACTTAATGTAATAAATACGTTCGTCTGTAGAATTCATAACTTTATAATAAAACTCGTCTGTGTATCATATTATGTATAGGTAAATTTTAAACAATAATAATAATAGATTGATGCGCGTGTTCGGTTTGTAATACAAACCAAAGTCACCTATACTGTACCTGTTGAAACGCCGTCCTGACGGTTGTTTACTAGTGGTACTGCGGTAGCCGTTCTGTTCAGTGACCTGTGCGGCTAATGCCGCCGGCTATATTATGGCTAAGGGCTATAATGACTATAATATGTCTATATGAAGTCAGGATCACACATATACAACAGTGAGGCGTGTACTAGTGTATACCCACTTCAGCATAATATAATAATATTATATGTATTATAGTATTTTATTATTATATAAAAGTATAAAATATAACTTTACAATAGAGTATAGCTGCTGTAATGCTGTATTACTGTATTAGTGAATACAGAATAACGTTATTGTCACTGAAGACACTACAGCCGCATGTATTGTCTCCGTCTATTCACATTAAGGCGGAACGGAGAAAAATGTAAATCATAGCCAAAACAAAAAAGGAGAACTATTTGGCTGTGAAATATCTAGGTACAAAAAGAGTTATTCAAGTTTGAAAAACACACAAATAATAGGTTTTGAAACAATGAGAACTTTTTTTGTATAAGTGATATCAAAAAAATAAGAACGATATTTCACAGATAATGTTGTCAATTAGGTAGGTATATTGTAAATCAATTTGGAGTCTTAACTGTCAGTATACAGCCTGAGTGGTAAACTTGCAAAACAGTTTTTGCTATGTTGTACATTTATAAGACGGAAACAATACATGCAGGCTTAGAGTCCTCTTAAACTTGAAATAACTACCTATACTATTTGATGTTTTTTATATTTTTATATATAAGAATACAATACGTCATATTATACTTGTCTGTGTGACCGTATCGTATACTGCTTCGCTTTTCGAAGTTTTTTTTGTTAAACTGGTATAGAGTATAATAATATTATAGTGTTTATTTACCCATTGGTTCAGACGAGTTAGGAGTTCAGTACAAGCGGAATGCGTGGCGGTTAACCATTTTAACATGTAGTTTAGGTACGTTGTTATTTAGTTGAACGCCTATTGAGTAAAAGTAATTTTTCTTGACCTTGATTTGAATATACTCAAAAATGTCTCTTATATCTACACAGAACAACGTTAACATTCACCTTATAACAAATTATTATAAAAAATATACTATTTACATCACTAATAAACATTTAATAATTTAATATTACTTAGGTATCCATTAACCCGTTAAGTGGCACAACTAAAGTTTGGTGTTTTCAGGGCTTCTAGAACTCACATCTTTTAAATTATATTAATTATATGATTACATTTAAAAAGATATGCAATAGTGGGTACCGTTCTGCTGTACAATATTGATGTCGAGTGGATCACTGTTATGGATGTGTTCGTTTTGAATTCATTGATATATAAAATCAGTCTATACAAAAAATGATTCTAAGAGAAACGTCAGACAATTATATTACCTACTAAG